AATATAATATTACAGAAATTCCTAAACGGTGGCACTTTGATGTTTTTATTAATGGCAGTAATTATTAACATAGGACAACATCAGTTACCAGTCTTTGCTGTTCCAGTTATATAATGCATTATGTGTTTTGTGAATTCCTAAATAAACATTTTAAAACGTGTTTAGTTTTAAAGATGATCGTATTCTGGTATTAAACTGAAAACATTGTTTGTTTGAGACTTTTGAATAAACTTAGATGCTTCAGTTCAGCTTCTGCAGAGATTTGCGTCCAACTAAATAATAATAATAAAAAAAGATTACTCATTATCTTCTGTTGCAGTAATTGAACGCATCCTCGTTTTTTGTCTGTGTGTAGTAAACGGGTGATATTGTTGTACTCCCCTTCAGGTTGCCCTTGACTGGTGTTGAAAACCTTTTTATTACCAGCTTGTGTTGACTTTGTCCTGCAGCCTGACTTTATGTTTCTCATGACAGATATTTTGGGAATAGATCTATAGCACTTCCTGTGAAAACATTATGAGGGATTGTCATGTGAGAGTAAACAACCAGAAGACATTTGAACTGCACTTTAACACCAGTCGACTACTAAAGTCTGTCCTGTTGTCTGCAAGTTGTTTTGTTTTCAATAATTCATTCAACCTTTATTTAGACAGGTTAATCCCATTGAGTCTGTAGGACTCATTTACAAGAGACACCTGATTTCTTAACAAAGGGCGATGACAGCAATGGATAACAAGGACAACAATAGACAGTCATAAAATAGGTATACAAATTTAAGTTTCTCTTTTTTTTTTAACAAATCGCAGCAAAAAACAGTTAGATCACAAGGTGCTTTAGAAAACTAAAAACAGGAACATGTCTGCATTGGCTTTTGTCAGGTACAAGGTTTTAAAGTCACTTGGAGAGGTCAAGGTCGAGAGGGAGTCTTTTTTTTGTTAGCCTTTTGGAATATGTATATCTGAGCGTTTACATCAATAGGCAAGAGAAGCGATTTACCCAACTGAGTATTTATTTCTGTACTTCTATACCATTTAATTTTGTGAGTGGTAACGAGTGATTAAAGGCACTTGTTTTATTAAATTTGAGCACAGTCTGGGAATTATTTTCAGAGCAATGCCAAAATTCAACTGGATCTTTTAAAGTGCTGTCAATTATTTTTTTGTTGTTCAAGTTCAAGGTTCTTTATTGACTCGTTCGCATCACATGTGGTACGTGAGGTGGAAGAAGTTGTGTACACATGGTCCCAGTTACATCCAACAATAGTAAAATGTAAACTGTAAAAGAAACAGTAATAAGGATCTAAGATATAAACTAAGAAATACACTAAAAAGTAATGGTGCAAAACAATACGCCGAACAACAGCAGCACGAACATGAGTCTGTGAGTAGATGAGTATGACTTAATACAGCAGCATGAAATAAATCAGCAGCATAAGATCAGCAACATGGATAGTCAGCAGCACATATCAACAATCAAGTGACATTACAGTGATTTTTTTTTTCACAGTGACAATCCTGATTAGAGATTCATGCAAAAAAGTGTGCGTGCTGTGTGTGTGGGGTCCTTCATGATGCAGGTGGCCCTCTTCCTGTATCTGGAGGTGTAGATGTCTGTGATGGTGGGGACAGTCTTCTGGACACATTGCCTCTACTTTTCCTAGAAATATCTCTAAAGATTGCAGGTTTGACTTTATGTTTGCATAATGTTAATTTCTTGAGTTAGTCAACATTTTGGTGTTTTTTAATTTTATTTTGAGCTTTTGCTTGTGTGAGGTGGAGATCACTACCAATAAAATCATTGAGTATGGGTGCGGTTGTGGCTGAGTGATTAGAGCAGTCGTCCTCCAATGGGAGAGTTGGAGGTTCAATTCCACCAGCAGTCGCATGCTGAAGTGTCCCTGGGCAAGACACTGAACCTCTCATTGCCTTTGATGTGTGTCCCATCAGTGTATAAATGTGATAAAGCACTGATTAATCTTTGTATTAATATAGTAGAGCGCTGTATGAATGAGTAAATGAGGGCACATATTGTAGTGTAAAGAGCTTTGAGTATCGATAAGATAAGCGCTACATAAGTACAGTCCATATTTTATATAAAGGTTTTCATTTTTTATTTTAGCCGTACATTTTCAGTTTCTACCTAGAAACCTGTAAATAAATATGACAAGCAGCTGCAATTTCACGTTTGTAATTCTGGAAAGCTTTCTCAGCTCTGCCTTTTGTGTAATCCCCCCAGAAAAGCAGTATTTACCCTGTACGTGGAATATCTAAAGTAATCCACTACACAAACTACCTTTTGCACATTTTTATAGTCTAAAAAAATCTTTTAAGAGCAATGGAAATCTTATTGCTCACCATGTAGAATGACAGTCATGTGATCGGAGTTCATCTGTGAATAAACATTCTGTTCCATGCTGCAAACTCATAAACCATGCTCAGTCGTGTTAATCAAGTTAGGCTTAATATAAGCTGACTTTTTAAACCTAATCCTAAACAGTCCATAAGCATATTTGTCAGGAGGGAAAATGGCAAATGACATAAAACCAAAGTATGGAAAGTATGCAGGACTTTGTTTTTACGATGGCGGTTGATGGATGGATTTGAGTTAAAACCTCTTGAACCTCAGTGGTATTTCACTCTAATGTTGCTGCTTTGTATACACGTTTTTATGCGTTTCCTGTAAAAACAGACGCTCTGTTGCATGCTCCTCTTCTGAAAAGTCAAGGCTGCTGTGACTTGTGAGCTCCACTGACCTCAGCAGGCTTTGCCCACAATTCCTCATCAGCTCCTATTCACATGTGACATTTAGAACCAGCTTTCATTGGACACGTTGTTAATCTTTGCCATGGCTGCCGAACAACTTGTATGTACTCTAAAATAGATTTTTTTTCTTTTCTTTTTTTATGTTGAAAATTTTGGGATAAGCTGCTGCACATTCCTGTTTTGAATCTGCAGAGCATCATAAAGCGTCAGATAAACAAGCAGTAAACTGATGTTCCCCATCGCTGAGGGATTTGAATAGTGAATGTTTGTAGTTTTTGAGATTAGTGTCTTTTTGGACTGGAATTGAACAGGGAATGCAATTAAACCTTAATGTTTTTGGTGCAAGATGTACAAGTGGGTAGGAGTTACACTGTAGAGAAAAAGAGAGAGAGTTTTATTTTTGTTGTTGCTTGTCCTCGACAGCACAGAGTGACAGATCCTAGGGAGAAAACCAATTTTATCCACTGCAATGGTGGAACCAGGGGCTGACCAATGGTGGTATAGGCCACTATAGAAAAATCTTCGGCCACCACAATCATTTGAAGAAATTAGACTGTTATGCAATATAAAATTCGAAAGCATAGTTTCTCAAATGATGGGGTTACATATATATACCCCATATACGGTTTACATACCGTATTTTTCGGCTTGTAAGTCGCGTTTTTTTTTTCTTCATAATTTGCATGCCCTGCGACTTATAGGCCAAAGTGACATATTTATGGATTTTTCTCATATTTATAAGCCAACTTTTTGGCTGAGATATGACTGTTTTCATTCATTCTGACTGGAAAAAATTTGAACAGTACCATTTTCATCCACTAGATGGCAGCAGAGTAGTAGTAGTAGTAGAAGTAAAGCATGCCGTTGTATCATGTAATAGGTAAATGTGGGTAAATGTGGCTATAATGACAAATTCAACAAAGTTCAAGACAAAAACAGCTGGACTTTATTTATTATACTTTACTTTATACTTTATTGTTTCTGCCTTGGATTTTTTTGAATTTACCATGTCCTGGATGACTGAGAATCTTCACCAGCTATTAATGACACAATCGGCTTGCCCCCGCCTTCGTTCTGCTCGCTGCTTGGACCGACCGTCAAACCAGCTGCACCGCCCCGGCGAAATGCAGCTAATTTGATTATTCAAGTGCATTTATTAAGTAAAAGTTTAACTGAGACACACCTTTGCTATAATTTCAAGCAAACAAATAAATGTTTTAGGTGCTTTTCATGTTAAATTTCGAAGAAACGAGCAGCATTTCTCATTCTTTATTCCTCCCTCTGCGTGCGCCCGGAGCACCAAGGCAACGAACATAGCTGATATGACCATTGAAGTCCTTTTATTAAGGAAACTTTAGACATAGACACACCTTTACTATAATTTTGAGCAAACAAATAATTATTTTTGTGTTACTCTAGTTAAATTTTTGTTAAAGTCCTCCCTTTCACCCTTCCGCGTGCGCCATTTTTCAGCCAATCGATTTTTGGCACAACACCGGCCCACATTTCTGGGTTGGCAGCGGTGACGCGTAACAAACGCAACGTGTCAGCGGTGACGCATAATAGATGCGACGTATACAGCGAAGCGACATATTTATGGATTTTTCCACGTTTTAGGCATATTTGGACTGATGCGACTTATAGGGCAGTTTGACGTGTACGGCGGAAAATACAGTATATATAAATGGTATATATGGTGGTGGCCATCTTGGATTTTGACGTGGAAGCTCAATTTTCAATAGAGACCTCTCTTACGCCTAGATGTAGCCACACACCAAGCTGGAAGTTGGTGCCTCAATTATTTTTCAAGTTATCCAGCTCACAAGAGAGACAGAGGGTATTTCCAAATCCCCTCTTCGCTCCGCGACGGGGTACAACATACAGAGCTAAATGCACAGATCTATATGAAAAAAGAATTATTGATCAGTGGTGTTGAATATTTGCTACTAGCATGCGTGTGTGTGTCAGACACACACAGCCTGAGCAGACGTCTGTGACTCAGTGTTGAATGGATCGTGCAGTCACATGGCAGCTTGTCAGCAGACTACAGAAGGAAACATAATCCTGAAGAGGAAGGCTGCTGTTATCAGTCCCTGTATGAGAGGGCACTCTGTTTGACGAGAGGCAGGACGAGCAATCAAGAAGCTCCGCACCGCTAACGTGCTTTTCACTTTTTTTTTTTCTCTCGTTACAATCTCTCTCTCTTCTCTCTTGTTTGTTTTTACCCTGCACTCTGACCAGCCCCTTCACTGCAGAGTTCAGAATTGCACTAGAATGTCTGCAGCAGCTTCTTTGCAGTAAGCACATGAAGGTATCGTACTGTCCTGAATCTCATTTTGTATTCTTTAGCCAGTTGTGATCTTTTTATCGTGTCACAAGTCTTACATTTTTACAGATTGTTGCTCTGTTATTAGTTTCATTCCTGCATAAAATGTTCTAGATGTTAACTAAATAAGTTGGGATGGTATTTTTTCAGTTCAGATTAATAAAACGTAACTTTGTTTTTGTTGAAATCACAAATTTACCAATATCCTGTTGAGGTGAGAGCTGATTCAGGCTTGGACCACATCTGGCCAAGTGTAAACAAGAACTGATATGCGCTACAGGTTAAGACAAATAACAACTGCCACTTGTTTTAGTAGAAGCGTGCGTTTGCATTTTAAATCCTAAATAAGAGCAGTTTGAAGACTAGATCATAGTGGCTCTCTAAAATTAGAAAACCAATGCATTTTATTTAGAGATTTCTTTTCTTAAACTGCACGCTGTGACCCAGTTTGTTTAAGATCATTTCTCACATAGCTCACATTTATGTTGTGATAATTAGCTTTGTAAATTGTCAGAGTCCAGGACGTAGGAGGGCTTTATCTTGATGGATAAAACATTAAGGACACAAATTATCTTCACTTTGGACTATTACAGTAATTGAAGGAAGGAAACACTTTCTTTTCCTCGTGAATAAGGACGTATTTATTGGTTCTTTATCAGTATTTGAAATGCACTGTAGAGTTGATCACAAAGTTCTTATAAAAGACGCATATTGCAGCTACAATGTATTTTGAAGTAACTCTTTAAAACAGCTTTCATCTGTTTTGATTTGAGTAGGAAGAGAAAAGTGATTGCTCGCTCTGCATGAAGCAGATATTGTAAATTGTTTGCCTTTTTAAATACCATCAGTTCTTAATTCAGGTAGCGCCCTTTCCCCAGCGCACACATTTTTAGGTATTGCACACCTCTCCTCAGTCTTATGTTTTCATGTAAATCGCAAAGATGCTGAAATGAAACGCTTCTAAATGTGCTGTCGTCTGCAGGACTGCTTGTAGGAACTGAAGACTTGGCTGAACGTTAAATTCAGTCTCACGTTGCCGATAAGCAGGAGCTAAACTGGCACATCTTCATATCACCCACTGTTGTTCACACCAGATCATCTTGTGTTGAAAAATGAGTTATAATTGATTTGGTCAAACCTTAAAAATAATGTTGGACGCAGTCTTATGTGTCACAAAATGTTGTGAAATATGAGTATTTCCATGTAAAACCATGTATGTTAGCTTTAATGTAAGGTCCAGACCATGCATTCTGGATTTCTCATAATGTCGATACCCAACATTTTATGCTGCTAGAAAAAAAACTTAGTTTTTATTTTTTTTCACAAGTTTAAAAATCTCCTGAAAAGGCGTTGGTACTGTATGTTGCAGTTACCTTCTTCCTGTTTTCAGTCTTACTTCCTCCCAGAGGGAAGATTTCCCCCAAAGTCTTGTGCACAAATTTAAAGCAGTGACTAACTCTAGCATGGAAACATTAAGAAGTTTAATGTGCGTGTTTGTTGGGGGTGGGGGGATCATATTCTCTGTGTTTTAGGAAAATGTTGCACGGTTCTAACTTCCTCTGCGTTACTCTGGGAAGACGTGAAAAACTTCTCATCCTCACTTCCTTGTGCACTGCCAGTTGAGTTCTGTCCTCTGTCAGACTGCACGTACCTGACCGAGGGCTGAAAACACTCGGATCACTTATTTTATGTTCTTTTTTCTCCATCTGACTTGGAAAGACGGGTGGTAGATGGTATTATTGTTATCACTTTCTGATTGTTGTTATCCTAACGGTATTATTACAGACGTGCCCTGAGGTGCATAAACTGGTTCCCATGGTTTTTACCTGGGATCCCAGGGCTCTGTAATGTTATCCCTGTGTAGCCAGCCCAGCCTCGTCCACAGTTTTAGGTTCTAGGTTTACTGAGAAAGTCAACCCAAGCTCTCACACTCCCCCCTGCCAAGATTTTTATGTCCATTACTTTGTGAACCAGAGAGTCAGCGTATCTATGTACAACTGGTAGAGGTCTTTCATTTCAGGCTATGTCACTGGCCATGTTGCTGCTCTTTGGGTTAAATTATGTCAGTGTGCTTCATTAAAATCCCTCGCTTTCAACAAGGTCGTTGATTTGATTGTGTCCAGACATCAAGGAGGTTTATCACGCCTTTGATAGCCGCCGTCAGTACAGACTGGCCTCAGCAGTGCATGTTTTCCAATCTGAAGGACTGAAAGACAAAAGAGCTCATTGCTCTGCCTGTGGAGTGAAAGAATACAATTGTTTGGTTAATAATGTTGCTACTGAGGGGCTTTAACAGAGACTTTGGTGATGCAGGTTGGCTGAGGCGTGCTTATCTAAAAATCTGCACAGAAGTCCCGTGTTATCTTTTATCTGGAGAAATGGTTATTGACCTTACAAAGGATTGCAATGCGTTTATGAAGTGCTGCAAGGCTTCAAATTAAGAATCACATTGTTTTATGAACTTTATTGAATGGTAAATGGTAAATGGACTACTTATATAGCGCCTTTTTATCTACTCAAGATACTCAAAGTACTTTACAGTACAATCTGTATCCTCATTTACCCATTCATACAGCACTCTACTAGATCTCTACAAAGCTCATTGAACAAATCATTCTAAAGAGAAAAATCAGAGTTTTTTCACATTCATACACTAATGGGACACACATCAGAGGCAACGAGGGGTTCAGTGTCTTGCCCAGGGACACTTCAGCATGTGACGGCTGGTGGAGTCAAACCCCCAACTCTTGCATTGGAGGACGCTTTTTTATTAAAGCCACTGCATCTCTGCCATCGTTGACATTGTTTCTTGTAATTATTGGCAGTGATTGTTTTGTCACAAATTAAGAACTTTCTTAAACAAGTCTTAAAAGTATTTGATGACCTTCCAACACAAACTCAATTAAATAAGTTAAATGAGAATTGTCGAACTCTTTCATGAGATCAAAGTTCATGCTCAATAATCTAGGTAAAAAATCCAACAAAGTCCAGTCAGGTCATCTGGACGTTTTTTTGTTTGTTTGTTTTTTTGAGACATTTCGTCCTTCATTCAAAGGACTTCATCAGTCCGAGGAGCCACAAATAAACTCAGTCCCACAACAACACACTCACATAGTGGACCAATGATGATGATGTTTTGTCCACTTTGGTTATGGCTGCCACAGAGGAGTCGACAGGGGAGAAGGCCGGCCCCAGAATCCATCTTCTCACCAGAAAACTGGTTGGTCCACTATGTGAGTGTGCTGCTTGTGGGACTGAGTTTGTTTGTGGCTCCTCGGACTGATGAAGTCCTTTGGATGAAGGCCGAAACGTCTCAACAAAAAAAAAAAGAAAGAAACCGTCCAGATGATCTTCATGAGAGAACTGAAACCTGTAAAATGTAATTATTCTTGATCCAGATAAGGTATCGTCTTCCTGTTAGAGATTCTTCACGTCGATCTCCTTCACCTTTGTGCACTTCAGGTTTAAACCTGTGTTCTCATGCTAATCAAGCCCGTGGTCTGTGTTTGTTTGCAGGTTATGCTGCCCAAAAGCTGCCTTAGTCCTAGTGAGAAAGAGAAGGGCTAAAAGCCGTACCAGTCCAAACCAGCTTCCCAGACCGGCAGCGACTCCACTGCAGAGCTATGAGCAACCCCAGCACGCCCAGCAAGATTACAAACGCTGTTGCATCAGTTGTTCACAGTGTAAGTTTAAACGACCGCACGCAGAGAAGCCTCAGGCAGGTCAGAGTCAGGCCCAGGCAACATCAGCTGTAAGATAAAATGAAAATATTAAAGTGTGTTGTGAATGGAAGGGCTGACTCTAACAGGAAATGCCAAAATTTTAAACAAAGATCACGTGCTATGTGTTGTACTCCCAATATGTATTGCAGATAACACCCAGTTACTATCACACCAGATTTTAGCTCAATACCTGTAAAGTTGACTGATTTATACCCATTTTTGTGTTTGCTAAGTTTGATTAGCTGTGGCAGCCATCTTAAATTGAGCCAACACCAAAATTTAATCAGTTGTAGAGTCACATTTAGTGACTACTAGCTGAGAGTTTTATACAAATTTGTCCAGGGATTCATAAGATATTTTGCTAACAGACAAACAAATGTACAGGCCAAAACAATATAGCTGGGCGATAGTGAAGAAAAGCTACTCCCCTGTGGTAGGAGTGTAAATACAGCTGTATGTTTCAGTTCCCTTTCTCCATGTGCAGGGTTTATGCTGAGTCAGCTTTTTCTGTGTTTTTTGGCTCTTGAGTTGGTATTTTTGACAGCGCTGTCCCCTCTACTGCTTTCTGTGCTCAAATATAAACACAACGATTTCAACTACGTAACCAACACGTTCAGATCTGTGTATGCACATAAATTGTTGCTGCTGCAGAAAATACTTTATTTATTATTATTATTAAAAAAGTACAGAAAAATCTTTCTCCTCTTTAGAAACAGTGTAATAATACTGGCGTAAATAAATGGTTGGCTGCTGAAGGGTTTACTGTGATAAATGTGTGTTGCAAAACCCGAGAGCAGCTGAGCAGCAGCCAAAGAAAGCAACATTCCTGAACTTTAGCTTCTCTAAAGCTCATGTCAGTGATCCTGCTTCATGATGAAGATGTGGTGGTAAAACGTCTTTCCTAAAAGTAAAATCCACCTGTAATACTCTCATATTGGGAGATTTATCAGGACATCTTGTGTTCTGAATCATTCCAGGAATTCAGTTTTTTAATATTATTTATTGATTTACCTGCATTTCACAGCAGCTCTTATGTTCTTTTAATTAAGTTAATGTTTCCCAGAAAGGCAGCCCGTGCTCCTGATAGTTTGGTTTACATTTAAGTGGGTTAAAATGCTGATGTCGATCGCATCGTCAGCAGTTTTGAATTTTCCTTTTTTTTCCCTCAAGTCATGAATTACAGTTTTGACCAAAGTACATTTTTTTGTAGGGGGTAAAATAAAATTCTTGCTCCGTTAGGCGTTCCAACACGAAGCACTTATTTATGAGCTCGAAGTATTTTCTGAAGCACCTGCTAAGGAAATCTCTGCCGTTTCATAGCTTTGCATTTTTGTTCTCTCCGTGCATGCGTGGGTTTTCTCCGGGTGCTCCGGTTTCCTCCCACAGACCAAAAACATGCATGTTAGGCTGATTGGTAACTCTAAATTGTCCCTAGGTGTGAGTGAGAGAGTGAATGGTTGTTTGTCTCGTTTGTCTCTATGTGGCCCTGTGATGGACTTGCGACCCGTCCAGGGTGTACCCCGCCCCTCGCACAGTGATTGCTGGACATGGGCACCGGCGACCCCCGTGACCCAAAATGGAATAAGCGGGTAAAGATAATGGATGGATGGATGGATGGATGTCCTGGGGAAATGTAATTAATATTTCTAACTAATTCAACATATTTGATCTAAAACCCAAAGTCAGTTTATATGTTCATCAATAAAAAATTTAATTTGTCCCTCTCCCATGTAACTGAATTTGACATCCGTGTAATTTTAGAACGTAATGAAGAAAATCCACACAATATTTTTTCTCACAGCAATAGTTGGTGTCCTTCAATTGGAATTTTGTTTGCACATTTTGCGAATTATTTTTTTACTGTTGTTTTCTTCTTTCTGTTTCCTTTTGTTTAACAGCAGATTGACTTATGTTCTCACTCAACCATATATATATATATATATATATATATATATATAAATTACAATAAATTACATACATGTAAATTGATATGTATTCTTA